AGCGGGCTAGGCAATGCACTTCGTACTGGGCCCGGCTCCCCAGTCTTCCCAAGATCTATACGCGTGCCCTGTATGGTGAAGATGGCGACGTCCTCCAGCCTGCCGGTTCTCCTGAACGACCCCATGTTGAAGCTCCAGATCTTCAGGGTTCGAGCCTTCAGCTGCGTTTTCAGGTCGCACTGGCTTCAATTATTCTCTTGAGTTCTCTGTGCTTCAGCAGATGTGGGACAGTTGGGCCACCGAATCATGCACTTCGGTGGAGACCAACAGCGCGGCTGTAGCACGTGTGTACATGTGCCCATGATGCCAATCCGCTCCCGCCACCAACGCGAACCTCACCTCTCGCACCAGGGCACGCCTGCCACGCATCGCCCCTACGACCTACTTTCCAGCGCCCCAGCTTCCAAGACTCACGAGGGAAAGCCGCTCGGGTGCCGAGTGTGACGGAGGTGCTCTCTGGATCAGCGGTGATGAAGCGAAAGAGGATTTTTTGCATGAAGAAGAAGGGTCCTGATGGAAGCGGGTCGTGGAACCCAGGATAGTTCCTTGGGACCAGTTCTTCATCCTGGGTCGTTTTTCAAAATCCTGTAGCCCAGGAGGGGCCAGTGGAACCCAACACTGGGGAACCAATCCAGGGCCCGTCTCTCACACAAGACCCCCCTCATTGTTCATAGCGAAGCATGGAGAAGGAGGAGGAGGAGGAGGAGGAGGAGGAGGAGGAGGAGGAGGGGGAGGCGGAGGGGGAGGGGGAGGAGGAGGAGGCGGAGGAGGAGGAGGAGGACGAGGAGGAGGAGGAGGAGGAGGGGGAGGCGCCGGGGGAAGAGGACATGTCAGGTGCGCTCGCGTCAACATCTGACATCCTACCCCTCCCTCCCATCCCTTACCATGGCGCTGATTTTCTCTATCCGCGGACGCGTGTCGTAGCGGACCTGTGGCTCCGCGCGCGTGTGCGTAGTGGGTGGTGGTGCGCGTGCGTGCGTGCGTGTGTGCGTGGTTGTGGTTGTTGTGGTGGTGGTGTGTATGTGTGTGTGTGCGCGTGTGCTGTGGTGTGACGTGGTGTGGCGTCTTGGTGGTTTGGTGGTGGGCCAGGTGCGTACGTGCGTGATGGCGGTGGTGGTGGTGGCGGTGGTGGTGTGTGTGTGTGTGTGTCTGTGTGTGTGCGTGTGTGTGTGTGTGTGTGTGTGTGTGTGTGTGTGTGTGTGTGCGTGAATATGTGTGTGTGCGTGCGTGCGTGCGTGCGTGCGTGTGTGTCTGTGTGTGCGCGCGTGTGATGTGGTGTGACGCGGTGTAGCGTGGTGGTTGTGGGTGGGGTAGTGAGGTGGTGGTGGCGGTGCGCGGTGGTGGTGCGCGTGCGTGCGTGCGTGCGTGCGTGCGTGCGTGCGTTGGTGGGTGGAAGTGGCGGTGGGTGTGCGTGCGGCGGGGCAGGGCGTGGTGCAGCGCGGTGGTGGCGGGCGGATGGGCGCGCGAGAAAGAGGCCCGCGCTGGGGCGAGAACGCCATCCTGAACGACGGAAGCAAAACACCGATCCGAAAATGAGGCCCACGCTGCAGCGGGAAGCACGATTCGGAACGATTCGGGAGCAGAAATGAAGCCGGCGCCTCAGCGAGAGCAGCAGTTTGAAAAAAACGCAGGCGAAAACCCAACTCCCGGGAATCCTGTGTGTAAAAAACAGTACGCGGGGGGGGGTTCGAATACTCCCAGCACGCCATCAGGGGAAGAGGGAGAGTAGTATTCATATTGAGTAATTGTGGAGGAGGAGGCGGAGGAGGAGGAGGAGGAGGAGGAGGAGGAGAAGGAGGAGGAGGAGGAGCAGGAGGAGGAGGAGGACGAGGAGGAGGAGGAGGACGAGGAGGAGGAGGAACAGGAGGAGGAGGAGGGGTCGGAGGAGGAGGCTCCTGGGCAGCTCCACGTCCATGCAGAACGCCTGGCCCTCCCCGACGCGCTCGAAGTACTGCGACATGCGGCTCAGCTCGCGGGCGCCGCAGTGGCGGGCGCCCCTGGCCGGAAGCGGGCCGTCGGAGAGAGGGCAGAGGAAAGCTGAGGAAGGTCTCCTGCTGGGCCACTGTGCTCGTAATGACGACGACGACGACGACGACGACGACGACGACGACGACGACGACGACGACGACGGAAACGACGACGGGGCGGGGCCAGGAGGATTGTGGCGAAGCGCCAAAAGCGACCCGCGCCAGCCTGCCACTCGAGATCTGGGCGGCCGGGGACGCTGGCTCTTGCTTCTGAAGTCCTGTCTCCATGCGACAGTCGGACCGAAGCCAGAACAACGCCCTTCGAGAACATGAGGCCCTCCGTCGGCCACAACAAGCAGAACATCCAGGGGTATCCCCCCCCAGGATACACAAGAACATCCAACAAAACACGAACAGCACTAGGGTACCCTTCCCGAACCGACCTCGACCTTATACCTCGGTCCTGCTGCACTGCCTACGAGGGGCCTCACGACCAGCAAAAACGCCTGCTGGCCGCTCGGGGTTGCTCTGGGATCCCTGCACGAACGCCGCCAGGCAGCGAAGAGAGCCCAATAAACCTCTAGGACGGCCCCAGGAGGCCCCGAAGAGAGTCTCAAACACCCCAGACGCCCGAAGTTGGCCCCAAGGTGCCTCCAAGATGGCCCAGGTGGGACCCAAGACGTCCATGCCGAGAGCAACCCATACTGATCATCACAAGTGCTTTCGATGTTGTCTGATTTTCTCACGTTCTGCTCCTCGGACGCACTGCCCTAAAATGACCCCCAGAGGGCAGGGTTCAGTCAGGGCGGGGGGCTGCCCCCCATCGTCCGATATACCTTGGACGTCACACAGAGAATCTCGGGGAACGCCTCTCCGCTCACCTGCCCTACCGCTGTTCCTACTTCGGGAAGCTCCTCCGCGAGACTAGAAAACATCGGTGGATGCGTTTTGCGAAATTCAGGCGGCGTCTTCTCTGGGCTCGGGCCCGGAAATGTCGGGTCACCTTAGGTCGGGCGTGTTCCTACAGGCGGATTTTGGATGAAAAATGAACCATTGTCAACACATATGCAAATACTACTAAAAACATCGCCCCAGACTATTTTTTACGATGTTTGAAAATTCAATATGTAAATGGGCAGGCCCGACTTCAGGGTAACCCCTCCGTGCGCGCAAGCCTTGGTTTCAACGCCCGTGGCAAGACTTTCCCGAGACTCTGGCGGCGCCCCCTCCGGGCTCGGGCCCAGGGACCTTCGGGAAACTCACCCATCGGGGGGACGTAGAGTCTTGGTCGGGGCAGAGGTGGGGTTTGAGTCAAAATCGTTCCAAGCGGAACGTGAAAGGAGGGCATGCGAGTGCGTCGCCAGCTGGGCCTGTTCCCCAACCTCACCTCGGACCCCTCCCGCCACGAACCCCCGAGCCACATCCCGGGTTTCAGCGCCGTGGGCGGGCGTCCTGGAACGCGGGCAGCGGCCTCTCGGAGCTCGGCTCCAGGATCTGTCGGAGACACTTTTTTTCCGCGGCGCGGAAGCTAAGTTTTTGGCGCCGTGGAGGGACTTCCCGAACTTCGGGCTCGGGACATGTACCCACGGCGCCCAAACCAGGTTTTTGGCGCCGTGAAAGAGTTTTCCCGAATCCGCACTCGGGACACTCACCCACGGTGCTGACACCAAGTTTTTAGCGCAGCGGAATAGTTACCCGAACTCCGGGCGAATCCAAGCCCTAACGGCATGGAAGCAGCGGGGCTCCGAGTTTCGCGAAACTCCTGCACGGCGCTAGAACTTGGCTTCTGGCGCTTCAATCTTAGCGCCGCGGATGAGTTTCCCAAACTTGCAGCGGGGGAGGATCCCCTCAGGCCCCTCCCGAAGGAACTGAGGCGTTTCCCAGTGCTGCTTGCTTGAAGCCGATGTTGGGACACTCCTCCACGGCGCCCAAACCTGGGTTCCAACGCCGCGGATCAGCTTCCCGAAATTCTGCGCGACTTCGCGGGCGAATTTCGGAAACTCCTCCACGGCACTATAACCTGATTGGTAGCGCCGAAGAACATTGTTCCGACATAGACTTCAAGCAAGCAGTATTGGGAAACGCCTCCGTGCGCACCCACCACCCAAAGGCCACAAGATGTCACCAGATTGCCCAGGATGGGCCAACAAGGTCCCAACATGGCCCCCAGATGACCGAATCGGCTTCCAATGGGAGGCCGGGGAGGCCGAAGAGAGTCCCCAGATCGCCCAATGTGTCGAAGGGTGGCCCAAGAGGCCCCAAGAAGGCCCCAGAAGGCTCCAAGACCTATCCCGGGCAGACTTCCTGAGTCGGCGCTGGACCGTCCGTCAACCACAAAGTTCCCCAGCGCGCGGACGCCGCCAGGAGTGGCGACAGAGGCGCCGCCCAGGTGCGTGGAAGAGGTGGGGGAGAAGAGGAGGAGGAGGAGAATAAGAAGGAGGAGCAAGAGGAGGAGGAGGAGGAGGAGGAGGAGGAGGAGGAGGAGGAGGAGGAGGAGGAGGAGGAGCAGGAGGAATACCAGGAGGAGCAGGAGGAGCAGGAGGAAGGGGAGGGGGAGAAGGAGCAGGAGGAGCAGGAAGCGAAGGAGCAGGCGGAGGGGGCAAAATACGCGTGGGGTGTGTCCCGACATGTTCATCTCGCCTCTCAGCGTCATGTTCGCCCTTCTCGCATTCGCTGGTCCCGGCGATGTAGCTAATGTCGTAGAGCCCCAAGTTCGCCTTCCGCGCATGGCCCAGCAGCGACAGAGCCCGCTGTCATGCCCCATCCCCTTCTCGCACTCGCTAATCCAAACAGTGTGACCGATCGCACCTCCTCGGACACGGACTGCACGGCCACAGGCCTATAGCCACGGGCGAAGTCCAGGTCGAATCTTCTCGAGCACCCCCTCCCCCTCCGGAGGGTGGCCAGCGTGTGGTGAAACCAACTAGCCTTCTCGAACGCTCCGACTCCAGAGCTGCAGCCGGTGATTTTGTCTCGAGCCTCGCATCCCCAAATCTCGTCGCGGCCAATCCCTGCCGTTCTCGTGCGCAAGTCTCAGCATTGTAGTTGACGGCGTTGGGTCCTATTTCCGTGTTCCCGATTGCTGTTCTCGCACGCGTTGATCCCAGGATCGTTCTTAAACCCGCGTTGTACTTTCCCGCGCATCGCAATAATGATTGCATCGCTGAAGCTAGCGACGTTGGACTCAAGCTTCGCATCCCACGTCTCCCTGAGCAGCCAAGTCGCCTGTTGCCCTTGCCCGCCTCTATCGCAAGCCAAGACCCCAGCGCTCTGGATGATGAGGTTGGGCATCAGCTTCGCCTCCCTCATGTCGCGCAGAAGCGACAAAGCCCGCTGCCACTGCACGCCCTTCTCGCACGCGCTGATCCCAGCGCTGTAGCTGACTGGGGCTGACCCTTGGACTACCGTCCCAGAGTGCCAGTGGTGAGAGTGCCCTTGATGCTGCTCATTGCAACAGGGTGCGCTGTTTGCTTGATGATTCTGATGGCGTCCAGAGCAGCGCTAGCAGTATCAGCGGCAGCAGATCCAGGGGCATGGGCAATAGCAACAGCAGAACATCCTCTCCCTCCTCCTCCTCCTCCTCTTCCTCCTCCTCCTCCGTCCTTTCTTCCTTCTCGTGCTTGCCTCGTCTTCGTCCTCCGCCTCCTCATCCTCCCTCCTCCTTTTGCTCCTCGTCGTCGTGCTTGGCCTGTCCTCCTCCTTCGGCTCCTGCCCCTCCTCCTCCTCCTCCTCCTCCTCCTCCTCCTCCTCCTCCTCTTCCTCCTCCTCCTCCTCCTCCTCCTCCTCCTCCTCCCTCCTCCTCCTCCTGCTCGTCTCCTCCTCTTCCCCCTTCGGGGGATCGTGCGATCATGACTCGGCGGGCAGGAGCGCCTGTGACGGAGGAGAGCCAAGATGATTAGACAAAAACCGCACTCCACACCTCTTGGGACACGCTGGGCGCGGGAGGGGTCGCGTAAACAGCAGTCAACGTTCCCCGGTGGCCGCAGCTGGATCTGACAGCTCTTTTCTGCAACCCTCCTGCGCGAGAGGTGTCCCAAGAGGTGTGGGGTATAGTTTTTTCCTTGAGTTCGTGTTTTCTGGGAGCCTACCGGGAGCAGCTCGGTGGGAGCTGCTGGAGGCCTTCGAGGAGCCCGTGGGGTCTCACCTGTTCTTGTGGCTGGGGCCTTGTAGAAGCATGTCAGGGCCGTTTCGAGGGAGCTGCTGGAAGCTTTCCGGGAGCCTCTGGGGAGCGTCCTGGAGGCTGTCCTGGAGCCTCGAGGGCGGCTTCTTGGGGGCTCGCTGGCCCTGGGAGGCGCGGGGCGGGGGAGCGCTCCAGAGCTGGCCCTCTTTGGCCTCCCTTGGGGCCATCACGGGAGGCTGTTCGGCCCCAGAGCGAGCCGTCTTGAAGGTCTGCTTCGAGCTTCGAACGGTTCTCTCTATCACAGCAAACCTCTTCCTCCTCCTCCTCCTCCTCCTCCTCCTCCTCCTCCTCCTCCTCCTCCTCCTCCTCCTCCTGCCCACACCCGCGGCCTGGGTCTGGGGCCGCCCCATAGGGGCGCTCTTGGGCGCTCCCTGGGCGCCCTCCAGACGATTTGGGAGGCTTCTCGGGAAGGGCTGGGCGTCTTCGGGCCGCAGCAGCGAGCGCAAGAGGAAGCGTAATAACACTTCGGCGAGCCAGAAGGGCCAGGGCCTTCGCTTCCCATCGGCAGCATCCTGGACACGTCTCTGGGGCCTTCCCGGGAGCACGCCGGAGCCGTCTCTGGACAGGCCGCCGGGCAGCTCCGGAGTGCCTTATGGGGAGCCTGCCAGGGGCCTCCTATATGGGAGCCTGCCGGGGGCGTCTCGGAGGCCTGTGGGCCATGGTGGCCGGCGGGGTCGGGGGGGGGGAACGCTCCGGAGTCGGGGGCCGTCCTGGGGGGTCGGGCAGGCCCCGGGAGGTGCCAGGGGCCGTCTGGATGGGCTCCCGGGTCACATCGAGGCCTTGCTCGGAGCCTCTCGGGGGCCCCCTGGGCCGCCGACGGCCGAGGGCGACGCGGAGCCGGAAGCTGGGGCTCAAGAAGGCGCTGCACAGAAAGACATGGACAAATGCAGACAGTTTTTCGTGCTCGTGGCCCTCTTGGAGGCCAGCTGGAAGTTGGATGTGTCCTTACTCGGCGTTCCGACATTGGGCGGTGAGGGGGGGCGGAAAGGGGATGGTCTGGCTCCAGACCTCTGCTTAGCGGGAGTGTTTGCAACCGTGCGTCCCATGGGGGAGAGCCTCCACCTGCTCGAACCAGGCGCCCAAACCAGCCAAGATATCTGCTCCACGGGGGGGGGACCGGGGGGGGGGTGCGAGGGCCCGCGCCGATCGGCCAAGCAGAGAATCAGAGAACGATCAGCTTGGAGGCCATCTGGAAGCCTGGTGGAGCCTGCTTGGGGCCTCCCCGGGGCCGTCTAAAAGGCCTCTCGCGCTGCAGGGTGAGCGCTCTGCAAGGCCCCCGCGGGGCTCTCCTTCCTGGGCCCGCGACGGCGCCGCCCTCCGCGAGAACGGGGGGCCGCGGGGGGCGGCGCCGCCGCGGGTCGGGGCGAGCGCCAGCAGCGTGGCCGTCCGGCACGCGCCGAGCCCGGTACTGTTCGGGGGCACCCTCGATGGGGTCGGAGGATCGCGACGAATCGCCGGCTCCACCAGGCTCCGCCTCGAGCCGCATCGGCGATGCAGCGCGGTCCTCCGCAGCCACCCACTCCGACCCCATCCAGGAGGCCTAAGGTGTTGCGGTACAGATGACGTCGGGCTCCAACTTCGACTCCCGCATGTCGCTCAGCAGCGCGAGTGCCCGCTGCCACTGCTCACCCTTCTCGCACGCGCTGATCCCAGCGCTGTAGCTAATAACTAGGGCTGACCTTGGGGCCTCGTCCACTTGCGAGGGGAATGGATGGTGCCGCCAGGCTCACTCTATAAAGCTGTGGCCCATGCTAGCTTTCCAAGTGTCACTCGAGCAAAGAAGCTGCTGTGGCACAGGGGCGCCGTTAGGCCAGCAGACGATGCCAAGATGTCCTTTCGGGAGCGGCCAAGAGGGGGGTGTCCAAGAGGGGGGGTGCACATCATGACCGGCGGCATGTGCGCGGACCAGGGGGGGGGGGCTGGGGACGTGATGAAATAAGACGAGGCGCCATGAAACCTGGGGAAATATCATGGCCTACGCCATGATCCCCCCCCCTAGTCATCACCCCCCTCTTTGCCGCCCCCGGTGCTTGTCGTTCCCCAAAGCGCCCGGGCCCACGCCGACGGCGCCAGAGAAGGCATGCAGCGCAAGAGCACCGTGCTAAAGTGCTGTCCGCGGCCAGGGCCGGGGCCCCAGAGCGCTCCTCCCGCGCGGCCCCGCAGGCAAAAAATCGAGAGCGTTGCCTTGCTTTCAAGACGTACTCCTCGTCGTCCTCGTCGTCCTCGTCGTCCTCCTCGTCGTCCTCGTCGTCGTCGTCGTCGGCGTCGTCGTCGGCGTCGTTGTCGTCGGCGTGGGCGTCGGCGTCGGCGTCGTCGGCGTCGGCGTCGGCGTCGGCGTCGGCGTCGTCGGCGTCGACGTCGTCGGCGTCGTCGTCGTCGTCGTCGGCGTCGTCGGCGTCGGCGTCGGCGTCGGCGTCGGCGTCGTCGTCGGCGGCGGCGGCGGCTGCGCGCAGCGGGGTGGCTGGGCGCCGCCCCAATGCCTCCTGGCATGCGTGTGGCTTGGCGGCGCGCAGAGGGGGGTAGGGGGAGGGGGGAAGGCTTCTTAGAAGGAGGCTGCTTCTTAGAAGGCGCCGGCCTTACATTTGTAGACAAGGCCCGCGCCTTCTAAGAAGCAGGGGTGCTTCTAAGAAGCCTTCCCCCCTCCCCATACCCCCCTGTGCGCGCCGCCAAGTGGTGCCATGGCCACCCTGGGGATGTCTTTTGCCGGCGGCCCCCCCGGGGCGCGAGGCCGGCCACCGGCACAGCAGGGGGGGGGAAGCATCGACCTGGAAGCGGCGATGCTCGCCGACCTCACTCGTCGCAGGTGGGCGACGATCAAAAACGGGTCTCACGCGAGATGCCACAGCGAGCTTGCGCGGAGGCTTCCGCGGGCCGCCGGCGCGGCACGCTGCATGGGAGACGAGGGCGCCTACGCGCGACGCCACGCGGGCAGCTTGCGCGCCAGTGTCGGCGAAAACGACCCCGTGTTTTTGCGTCGCTCAGGTGTCGGCCCCCGGGGGCTCCTGCTCCATCTTCCACTGATTCTTGGTGTGGGAACGTCACGCTCTCCATAGCCAGACCAGCGAGTCGCAAGAAACCCAGCGGGCACCCTGGAGGCAAGCAGGGTGCTTCTTGCCGTGGGCCTCCAAGGTAGGAAATGGCCCGCGGGGGGGTCTTCAGCCGGCCGCGCCGCCGGCCGTGAAGGAGCAGGGAAGAGGCACAACGGGGGACAGGTGGAGAGCAGCGCGGACGGCGGAGCGGGCCAGGACGTCGCACAAGCGTGCAGCTCCGTTTCTGTGGCGCCGTCGACGGCAACAAAAAAGAGGAGGAGGAGGAGAAGGAGGAGGAGGAGGAGGAGGAGGAGGAGGAGGAGGGGGAGGAGGAGATGGAGGAGGAAGGAGGGAGGAGGAGGAGGAGGAGGAGGAGGAGGAGGAGGAGGAGGAGGAAAAGGAGGAGCGTGCAGGGGCAGCGTCCGCGCCAGTCCACCGGCCTGCCTTTGCGGCACGGCGCGGGCGGGGCGGCGCCGAGCGAGCCGGCGCCGACGACGTGCCTGCGGGCCCGCGCGCGACGGCTGCGGAGGAATTTTGAGGGCAAGGGCGCCGTGCCGAGCCGTGTCCGCGGCAGGGCCCCCGCGCCGGCCGCGTACGACGCTGGACACGCCGCCCCTGCGTTGCACGCCTTCGCCGGCGCCGGCGGGCACAGCGGTTGCGGAAGAGTGCCGCAAAAGCCTCCTCCTCCTCCTCCTCCTCCTGCTCCTCCTCCTCCTCCTCTTCCTCCCTCGAGCCTCCTCCATCTCCTCCTCCTCCTCCTCCTCCTCCTCCTCCTCCTCCTTCTCCTCCTCCTCCTCTTTTTTGTTGCCGTCGACGGATCCCTGCGGTGGCACATGATCGCGCCGGGTTCCTTCCGGGCGTCCCCCGGGCGCAAAGGCGGCCACCAGAAGTAGCAGGGGTAGAACGCGTCCCGCGAAACCCATTCTGGACGAGATCGTGGGATGGATCAGACGGGCGGGGCGGGCGTAGGTATTCGTCATAGTCGTCGTTCTCGTGTCGTCTGCGTCGTCGACGATGTTTCGATAGAAGCACGGGTTCAGGCTCCCTGGCACCAAGGACAACACCCTGGATGTTCAGGCTCCTGGGCATCATGGACAACATTCCGGATGTTCAGACTCCCGGGCACCAAGGAAATCACCTGGGGTCTTCGGAGGGACACCCTCAGTTGGT